AAGATCAATATTAATATTACATATCCGTCGTTATACTACGATCATCAACGATTATCTCACAATTTGATTGGTCGATCGGCAAATAAAATCACAAGATGATCAACAAAATCTAGCCAATCACAATGAATGTTCGCTATGCTACTTTCTATTCATAAATATAACTGCAGATACGGCTTTAATTGAACTTACGTTAATAAACTTATATTAATTTACATAGGTAATATTAATGCTAAATAAGTTTTACATAGCCATTAAATCTATATAGCACCACCTCTTGAATGTGTACAAGGTCGATGGCACAGTATCGGCAAAAGTAGTTTATGGCAACTTATTCAACTAGGTTTTATATTCTTTACAAATAACTTATAGTCTATAACAATTATTGTGATTCGAATTCTAAAAGCCCCATGCATTTATTTCATTATTAATATTATCGATTGAGCTGTGGTATTTTGACCTCTCCGGTCCCTTCATCATTTGCTATTATAGTATATCATATTTGTTAGTATATTACCATTACACCTTGTACACTAGATTATTAGTTTAAGTGATTTTTACATACACTTTATCGAAGCAAGAGAAACATATACAGTATTTCTAATTTATACATAGGGCTTTGTTAGGATAAAGTTAAACTCAGTTACGTAATATAAGTGAGACACTAATTTCTCACACAACTACATAATATTAACGTTAAATCTTATTCACATTAATTTATTAAATTATAATTAATTTAATAACATACACAAGATAAACTAAGTCTGTTAACATTAGTTTATTAAAATCGGTTCATCAAAATATTAAAGATAACCAATTGGCTAAGTCAACAAAATCAGCTAAGCAAAATCGGCTACAAAAACCATTTATAAATTCTTTATTTATAATTAATTTCAAAATAGAGTAGCATTTAAAATCTTTGCTTCTTATAACTCATGACCCTGTAAAACATTGCTATAATCCATCCAACACATCGTTTATAATTGTACTGGTTCATTAGTCAGAAATTTTTTCCAAATCTTTTACCTTCTTTTTTGGAGCTATTAATCTATCATGTATAAAACGTGCCGAACCTGAACAACACAAAAATGGATAGATGAGGTATGGTAATATACCCGGTGCTTTCTTACCATACAAAAACATATAAAGAGATACGAAGAATGCATTTGCTCCACCAAGCGAAGTAAAGAAAGTGAGAACCTTGAATTGGGATGCTTTACTAAAAAAAATAATAATAATAATAAAATTAAATTAAAATAAATAAAATTAGTGTTATATAGATGAACATGTAATTTTTAATATTATAAAATTTGTAACAAATATTTTTAAGTCAAACATTTCAAATATTTATATGATATTGAATAATTTATGATTACGCATTTACTTTAATTATATCCGATAAAGTATAAAAATATAAAAAATATCAAAGTAATTCACAATGAATAAATACTTACTCTGATTCCTTATAAGTAATTAAAGATGATGATTGATTATATATTTCAAAAGTAGCAGTGAATTGTGACGGAACAACTTGTTGGTTTAATGGATTAAAAGTTTCTGTTTGCAAAAAATAAATGAAAATAAATAAAAAATATTAAAATATTGTAAATTAATTTGATAAACCCTTTATTACTTACGCATCCTTGTTGAAAGTCCAAAATAGTTAAATGAATGTTTAGATGATTTTACTGCAACTGACAAAACTCCATGTTTTAAAGAACCTTCAAGATCAGAATATTTAACTCGATCTAACCAAATAATTTGTCTCTATATAACCATATTGTAAAATATTATTATTTGTTTAAATAAGGTATTACTAATGTAGTTAGTGAGATGATAAATTCATTACCTGATACGGTGAAAGAACGTACGTATTAATTTCTTCGCTCAAAATATCATTTAGCTTATCAGTAGCTCGACTATTATCTTTGTTAAATAAATTTGGATCAACAAGTCTTATTGCCGGGTATGTTATGAAGGCTGGACTAAGATCATTTGCAGATGAACTATTAGCGGAAACTCGGAAATCAAATCCAACAGGCATGGTCAAAGAAGTTCCATCCGTAAAACTAGTATTAGGATCATAGTAAACAAAATTCACCCAAGATGAATCACTGAGAATAGCTAATTTATCATTGCAAGAGGTAGTGGTGCCGGTAGCTACGAAAGAGTTAAACAAAATCATAAAATAAATAAGAATTCGAAAAAGAGTATTAATTTATTAAAATAACTTACCAAGTATGTAAGAACAATTAATATTATAATTAGAAAAAGCTGTTGAATTGAAACTTATAAAGACAACTGTAAATTATAGTTAAAGAAAAAAAGTTAGCATATTAGCATCGAATTATCAAAATGAATTACTTGAAATTTAAAATTTTACCAGGAACCGGTATACTATCAACTTGTGATCGGGACATTTGTATAAAGGGTTTATCGGTAAAGCTCAAAATGAAAATAGTAATGAAATACACAATCATAACGTAAACGAAGCAAAGAGAAAATAATCTGGTCCAACGATAGCATGGTGGTTCTTTAGATTGTTCATAATCCTTATAATCTTCATCTACTGATGGAAACAAATAAGCAATAAATTTATCACATAACAGTCTACAAGCTCTCCTATCTTGTGCCATCTTTTTTCTTCTGAAAATTGTTTAAAGTCAAAGTATTAAGAAAACAAAGTATTTTCCTTAAAAAAATTATAAGTGGAGTTTTTATGGGGCTCATTGCTTTATTATGCCTATTGTTCATTAGATATACTGTATAATGAAAGATTGCAGTGTAAGGGAGGTTGGTGCGTCTATATATATGCACGAAATAAATTAAATCAATCATACGATTTAGGTGAATTTGATATAAACACGGCAATTAAGATGAGTTTTTCCTAAAAGAGTTAGTCAGGAGCATGAAATAAGTCGGGTATGACAAACCTTTATTGTCCCTTACCGTTACGGAAAATTCTGCGCAGCAGTCGATCGATTATATTGTACGTACGTACGTACGTACATCCGGTGCTGGAAATCTAAAAACTTCAATCACTTTGTATAGAACACAAAACGATCAGCACATTGAAGATAAACTAAATTCAGTAGCGGCTTATCTTAAGTTTCAACTGTATGCATAAAACAACTATCAAGTGCATATTATTCTTGGCGCATTATTTCTATGCCCATCACTATATTGAGATTGATAATTTAAGAAATTTGTTTTCAATCTACTAGTTTGCAATACGCAAAATATGCAGCAC